CAAATTGTGTTCACATGTTGGAGAATCGTAGTTAAATACAATTTTCCGACGTAATGAATCACAAAGAAAAGTTTGCTTTAGTTGTCACCATAATTGCTTTTATTTAGCTAATTTCTAGAATCGTGATCACTTCATTATCGCAGCTGTTTTACTATTCAAATAGACAGATAGAGACGAAGAAAGAAGATAAGTGATTTTTCGAGCATTCGGGGAAATAGTGCAATTTATTAAGGTCACATGGTGGATGGAAAAGGAGGAAAACTAGCACCTCGTTATCTTATTACACTCTGAAGCTTGCCCACGACAGGGTTTTTTCGTTCAGTTTTTCTTGAAAATAATCGTCCCACAATTATTGAGAAACCTCTATGAGCTGGAAGGAAGTTCAATTAAAAAACTACATATCACAAGATAACAATCAACCAATCATATTCAGCACATCAGCCCATTACAGGAGTTTGATGATTTTGAACCCTATATATAACTATATTAGGAAGTGAACGAAAACAAGCTTTGTTCGCAACAGTGTTTTCTTAATTCCACTTTGGGAATATTCATTAAGAACGCAACGCTTTAAAATATGCAGCTGTTGAGTGGCCTGATCTTATACGAGTTGCTGAACGTACTACAAATCGTGCTTGACGCACAGAACAATCAAATCCGTTCCATTCTAGAAGCTGTTAGTGGGAAAATGTTTCAATATATTCCTCCGAAGTGCTTCACCTATCCCGCTGTAGTTCAGGAGATTAAACTGTCCGTATGATAAATAAATAAAAATGCAAAACCTACAAATATTATGGCTGATTTTTCAGCTACAATAACCTCAAATCGTGATCGTTCAGGTTATATATTATGAATACATCGTTATATACGACGAATGAAGTATGCCTAATAAAAACTTTGAAAACGCCGGTTACATCTCAATCACACCATTACTGTTAATACAAATAGGAATACTAGGCCAGCATTGGGGCAAGATTCAAGCAGTTTTTTAATTGAAATCTTTTAATATTTCTTGAATTTCTTAAAACCTGAACTTTCCGGTCACTTTTACCAGAAAACCTTCAAAATGCAAGCGTTGCTGCTCATTTAAAATACATTTTGTTTATGATGTGCAATCTATTTTACACTTCGTGGTTTGATTCAGTCATCCAGAAAGCATCAAGAAAGTTGGGAAATCTGTCATGCAAACACACATCCCGTTTCCGATTCAGCAGTCGTGCGCTATTTCCCCCTTGCTGAGTAAGCAATAACTCAAATTAATTGCCCTTTAGTTGCCCCAGTATTCACTGTTTTTCACATCATAGAATGAAATTGATTCAAATTGTTTATATTTTGAGGAGGTTTGTGTTGTTCGACAATTTCTTTAACCCTATTTCAATACGAATGGTTTTTGGGCTGAGATGATTTTGTTATACCCTTGATCTTCATACCACTGCATCACCGTTTACTGATTTTCTATCTTTCCATTGTAGTTGATGTACCTGCATTGTTAGAAGAATAGAGCTTCATTTCCGGTTGTTCGTTTTCTTTCTGTCATTCGTCGCTCCGTCATCCGAGCTCATCACAATTTAATCATCTAACAACGATGGATCGCTTATTTTGTCCGGAGCGATTCGATACCGATCCTCATTATTCATCCGCTTCCGAACAGTGGATTCAGTGGCATGAAACATTCCGCAACTTCATGTCTACTGTCAGTCTACCCAAAATAGATAAGAAAAAGGTTACTGGTGAATTTCATATCGCCGTCCGTTTTGTCAACACAATCAATTGTCCCGATTATGAAGATGCTATAAAAACCTTTGAAGGACTGTTCGTTGAACCACAGAACGAAGTGTTCGCACGACATCTACCGGAAACAATAAAACAAGAACAAGGACAAACGATTGATAAGTTTACAGAGTTCTCGCAACTGGTTGTAACTTCGTTGCAGTTTCTGTCAATAGACATCACGATGAAACTATCCGTGATGCTTTCATTCCGGGGCTGCTTTCCAACGATATTCGCCAGCGGCTTCTTGAAAATCCTAAGTTTGCAGTGTGCTTTTAACGAGGCTCGTATTTTGGAGAATGCACAGCAGCAGTTGCTCACTTACGATTCAGTCTTACGTGTACACTACAGTTCCATGACTAACGAGATAGATTCCACGATTTCAATACAACGTCTTGGAATTTCTGGTTCACAACCCAAAATCAAAGACTCAGTTACAGTGTCTTCCGCTTCATGTTTTTTGCGCGGAAGTTATCGACATCCTCGTTCGAAAAGTCCAGCCTGAGAGGCCACATGTAGTTCTTGTGGAAAGAAGGGGCATTTCCAAAGGGTTTGTCGATCCAATTCCAACACTCATCTCAGACGTACATTATCTGTGTTAAATCCAACCATTTCGTCCGTTGTTGCAGGATCATCATTCGTCAGTCTCTCCACTGGAACAATTCAAGTCAATGGAATAACTCTGAACGCGCTAATCGATGTGTGCAGTTGCGAGAGCTATCTCTAACCAACATTGCCGCCAGGCATCGATGGCCTGTAGAGTCATCCAAACATGCCACCCATCTGTCCTGTGTAACTCAAGGGCACGTGTACGCTTCTATTCAATACAAAACACACTACAATAGGCTGAAACTTTCCCTTTTAAAAGACGTATGCACCGACATTATTCTCAGTCTATATATTCTCGGCCAACATCAGAATGTCATCATTCCCTTTAATGGCAATCGTTCACTTTTCTCTGTATGTACCCTCAATGCGGCAAAAGTTGACATACCTCACTTGTTTAAAAATCTAGCACCAAATCATGCATCAATCGCTACGAAATCACACCACCACTCAGTTTTCGATTACAAATGTATTGAAGTCGAAGTCAAACACTTATGGCTAAACAACATCATAGAGCCTTCCACATCTCCTTGGCGGGGACAGGTTCTTGTAAGAACCAACGAGAGACATAGGAAACGAATGGTAATTGACTATAGGCAAAAGATAAACCATTTTACTTATTTGGATGCTTATCCTTGAACACGAAAGGGATAAACTAGCGGAAAAAGTGACTCAAAATTCTGTGTTCAGTTCACTTGATCTGCGAAGTGCCTATCACCAAATTCCCATTCGAGAAGAGGAAAAGTCATTTACGGCATTCGAGGCTTGTGGTAACTTGTATCGGTTCTGCCGCATTCCCTTCGGGGTTACGAATGGAGTGGCTTATTTTCAACGTACGATAGATAACATCATCCATAGAGAACATCTACAAGATACATTAGTGTATTTAGACAACGTCACAGTGTGTGGCAGTGACCCGGAAGACCATGATATAAATCTCCGCAACTTCATGGATGCCGCTAAGAAACACGGTATAACGTCCAATGAACACAAGAGTGTAATTGGCGCTTACAATATTCTTCTTCTCGGGTATTAAGTTTCCAAAGGCGTAATCAAGCCACACCACCAACGATTCTCAGCCTTGAGGGAACTAACTCCCCTGAGGAACATTGCTTCGCAAAGACGAGTGGCGGGGATGCTGGCGTACTATTCCCATTGGATCCCACACTTCTCCAAAAACATTCACCCACTAGAGCATAACCACACCTTCCCCATTCCGGACAGCGTAAAATTCTCTTTCGAAAAATTGAAGAAAGAGCTATAAAAGACTGCTATTTTACCATTGATTACAACCGTTCACTAACCATTAAAGCCAACGCATCCGACATCGCAATAGCGGCAACACTCAATCAGGACGGACGTCCGGTGGCTTTCTTCTCACTTACCTTGTCCCCTAGTGAGCGCCACAATTCAGCGATCAAAAAGGAAGTGTGCGCTATCGTAGAAGCTGTAAGGATGTGGAAACATTTTCTACTCGAGAACCATTTTACTCTTATCACGCACCAGCGTTCAGTTGCCTTCATGTACAACAAGTAGCACAAAGGTAAAGTGAAAAACGATCAAATTCAGCGATGGAAATTAGAGCTATCATGCTTTCACTACGACATCCAATATCGTCCTGGGGGCAAAATCAAGTTCCCGACACATTCTCTCGAAACCTATGTATTTCAGCCATGTCACACACGGACTTGAAACAGTTACACAACACTCTGTGTCACCCAGGTATCACACGTTTGTTGCACTTCGTTCTAAGAACTTACCCTTCTCCATAGACGATGTTAAAAAAGTTGTAAATGAATTTGAATTATATGCACAACTTAAGCCCCAATTTTCCAAAGGCACTTTTGCAAACTTAATAAAAGCGACCAGACCGCTCGAAAGAATCAGCATTGATTTTAAAGGCCCAATTCTTTCTATCTCCCACAACAAAAACCTTTTGACCATGATAGACGAATACTCTCGTTTTTCTTTAGCTTTTGCTTCTGCTATGTCATCCTCAACTGTTATTCACTGTTTCAGTCAATTATTCTCCTTATTTGGAGTGCCATTTTATGGTCATTCTGATCGTGGCACGGCCTTTATGTCGGGTGAACTGCAAAGTTTTCTCCACAATAAAGGAGTGGCAACAGCTCGTAAAAGACCAGCAGCAACGCACTGATTCACAGACATTTCACTCAGCGCGGAAGAATTTGGTGATTTTGTTATACCCTTGATCTTCATACCACTGCATCACCGTTTACTGATTTTCTATCTTTCCATTGTAGTTGATGTACCTGCATTGTTAGAGGAATAGAGCTTCATTTCCGCTTGTCCGTTTTCTTTCTGTCGTTCGTCGCTCAATCATTTGATCTCATCACAATACGAAATCACCTTATAATATGATGGAATCTAAAACGTCATCCTTTTAGATCAATGGTAAAGTGCATTGGCCGGATCAGAGCTATTGGTTCCCTGATTGTTCAGTGGGCGTTCGCCCATTGGTTGCAGTTTTGTCCTCACTTGTGATTGGTTATTTTGGTTTATGCAGTTAAATAAAAATTCCTATCTGGGTGAGACTTTCAGGCACATTTGCTTTTTATTCATTCAGTGATGCCTTAATTACCAATCCAACTATTTTATGCAAAATGACTAAAAATCCACAAATAAAGTCCCTCCAATGCTCGGATTATGTGACTAACACCGAGTTGGCTGTGAACTACTTCCGAGCTTATGTAAACCCCGTGATAACTTTTCTCGGTGTACTCGGTAACGTTCTGGCCCTATATTTGTTCAGCACTCAGAGACCATGGAATCGATTCGCAATTTACGCCATGGCTTTGGCTATATCGGACAGTTTAGTGCTGATTTCAAACACTTTTCTCGATGACTTTCTCGGACGTGGTTTATACTTTCTCACTAATCAGAAATACATGATCAAACTTGACACGTACTCTGTGGAGAGTTGTCGATTCATGGAAGTGATTGGATCATGGTTTGTTTTCACCTCGGGCTCACTTCTCGTCGCGTTCAGTCTGGATCGTGTGGCCTGCCTGTTTCGTCCACTTCAGTGTCGTTCCAATGGCGGGATACGTATTGCATTTGCACTCAGTGTAATGATTATGGTGCTTGGGCTGATTCTCAGCCTCCCGCATGCAGTCCTGCTCAACCTTGTGACCAAAACGGAACAAGTGCCCGAAGGTATCAGTTTTCATGGGGCCTATGCTGAGAGGGGTTTGAGCATTGGGTCCGCATCGATGTTGTCCTCGTTTTATAGCCCTAATAGCTCAAGTGAGTTCCGCTCGAGCTCCAACTCCTCACGTCCTGGGAGGGGGTCACGAAACGTGGCATGCATAGGTGCCGACTTACTCGCTTGCCTCATGACCACTAAAACCTTCATAACTGGTGAACCTAGCTGAATGCGGTCGCGGGACACGTCCGGCTGAATGTGTCCACAATGTGATTGGCTTTCCACAAATAGATATCTATGGCAACTTGGCTATCTATCTAACGTGTGTGCTCGCATGCAGCCGATCCACGAGGGTGAATTCTAATGCATGGTATGCCTCAGACAACCTTTGTTCACTAAGCAAGTCCTTAAGTCCACTTTACATATCATTATCATCCCTCAACGATGTTTCGCCAAATGAGAATTGTAAGCCACGAATAACTTAGACTGTTATTGCTAAATGTCAAGCTACATTGCCAACGTTGATAAATCCTATTTAAATGTTAGTTCACGAGTGTTTTAATGTGGTTATCCCACGGCAATATCTAGACTGTCTTAGTTTATGTACATGTTCGTTGCATCAACGTGTTTTGGATAGCATTATTCCTAAAGTTGTTGCTGGCTTATTTGAGCTGATCTAGAAATGAAGATATATTTAACGGTTACAATGTGGCATACATCATAACATTTTCACGTGGAATTCGAAGAATTTCGTTGTAAGTGGTACATCGAGCGATCTGTGCGCGTATCCAGATGAAATTTTTTTCCTATGCGCAGCTAACACACGTAAACTGCTTTACATTCCTGCGCTAGTTTCTCCTAAAAGACTGGGCAATTCTAACAAATCTGACATCGAAAGTGAAAATTGGCAAAACACAGTTTGAGCCCGTTATTGGCTAAATAGAATTTAAAATCAGCTATATCTTTGCTGCGATGGAAAAACAGCACCCGGAGCTGAATCATTTGAGTCTAACTGATGTTGTTCAAATGTACCTGAAATCGAAAGCAGAAAGAATTATTCTAGGATTATGGTAATATTACAATACTTTTCATCCAATCAAACTATCTCAAACAATCCACGATACAACAATCTGTATAACAAAGCAATCCATCCGCAATTTCCTTGTCGACGAGATACGATTAGGTTGTGCAAGACAAAACAGGTCAATTTTTCCCGGGGATTCACAACCGTGCAATCAAATAGTGACTCTTTGGCTAAAGTACTGGCGTGTGAAATCCGTAATCCTCTGAGGCCGGCTTTTATTTCATGGCATTACTCGACTTTAAATGGGGTCAAGAGGCAAAATGTTGAACACACGACGATGTTTCATCGAGGTGGTGACCAATGTACCAAGCGAACAGTTCTGTGTTCTGCACACTTCCCTTAGATTGATTTGAAGTCAGGCTTTTAGCAAAATTCCCTATATGAATTTTCAATAGCCCACCGATTCGGGTACCGCTCCGGATGTGAAATTTTTGTCCACTCACTGTGCTGATCCAATTTCACCGCATGAAGACAATAATGAGAGTCTCATTGGCAATGGTTTGACACTTGTTCATACAGGGCTATTACTCAAGGTGCAAGGGACCAGGGATCATCACGAGCCACTTAAGACACAACCCCATTCAAAAAGCGGTTCTCGGATAGAATTAAATATGCATTGTGAATGAGAATATAATGCGATAAAAATAAATCAACGGAAAACGACGACCCACATTAAACAATGTGATGCAATAATTTAATTTCTCGTGCCTCACAGTGATATTTCATTTGTCAAATTGATCTATTTCATTATGAAACAAAATTTGCAATAGAATTTGTAAATGCTTACACAAGTGTTGAGAAAATAAAAAAGGTAGAAATTTAACATCACGCGATACAGTGAATACTGACGACCTTAGTTGCATTGAAATCTTCGCTATTATGATAAATTGAGAGCGAACAATCGAAGCCATTACCGGTAGACTCTGTTGACTGAGATTACTGAACTTTTGTTTATATCAGCTACGCTTGTTTTCCACAATGCGTATAAATCTCAAGCATTCGAACAATCTAGATAGAACACAGCTTCATTGATAAGATTTTCAAAATTAGGCATATAAAGTGCTTCCAGGCTTATGTTGACACATACGTACATGGCTTAATGTTTTACGTATTTTTCCAAAAACTGTACAGATACCTATTTCACTAGAGTTCATCGTTCAGCTCACTATTGAAACCAACTAGCTGTTTTCCACCTATTCAGCCCATTAACAAGAATGCTAGAGTCTTCCATCTGCGATTGTGGTACGTTTCATTGTCTGTCCATGAATAACATGTTAAAAATGTGGCCCAAGGCTAGAAAATGACAATACTTCCCTCCCCCACTAGATAAGCGTATTGTTGAATATCATCGACGATTGTGTCTGGTCTTATCAAGAAGCATGATGGTTGATGAAAATACCTGGCTGCCTTGTAAACCTAATATATACTTCCAGCTGCATTTCAATCGATTGTTCGATCAGGTTTCAAATCAACACGTCTAAGCTAGTCAATTCCCTACACAGGCAAATGAGTTATCCTTGGATAATGGATAATGCCTAAGGTGTGAGCAACCAATAATCCCAATAATTGTAAACCATTCCACTAGTTCAGAGTAATCGTAACAAATATATTATTGTGGGGTTTATAACTGAAAAGAACACGTTCGGTTAGTCTGCAAACACTGCAGGAGTTCGTATCCATAATTTTCCCAAGTGTACCTCATTTACACAATGTCTGCCATGCATGAAACTGCATGTTTTCCAGCCCATTCCAAATAAACAGTGCGTGCATGGGCCCAATATGATATCCCACCGCTACCTGAAAGGCACCTCGTACTCTGTAATGGGTACACTTGAGTGTGTATCAACGTATTGTTCTTTATCTCATTAAATTCTATTGAACATCGTGTAATCAGTTATCTCTCCGTTATCCTTATATATTCCATTTTATTTTTTGTTTTGTTTATCGCACTCAATTAGGTAATGGTACGCAAACTGTCAAAGTCACGGCATCCTGTACTTTGGACACCGGGGGGAATAACCAATCTAACGAATTCATTCCGTTCATATTTAGTACCATGCTCACTTACATGATGCCATGTGTGATCCTGGTATTGACCAATTTCCTCATCGCTTGGAAACTGATCAAATTGAAACAGAAGCGTCTTTCATTGTGTAATCGAGATAAGACCAGCAATCATCTGCAGGCATGGACGTCCCAGCGTACGCCATCCATCAGGGAATCACGTGACTCAGCTGTGCTTCATCCAACTATGGCAAGCATGGTTCAGAGAAACAAGACCAACGTCTTGGAGAACCGCAAAGAAATGTGTCGGGTAGTTGCCTTACTGATTTTGTCCTGTTGCTACCTGTGTTTCACTTTCCCCGTGAGTGTGGCTCTATCTGTCCGGGCCACATTGACACCTAACGGCACTGATTGTAAATTGATATTCTACGAACATTTCACTCGTTTACTCACATCCATCAAAGATATTAATTATGCTTTGAATGGATATGTATACACGTTATTTTTCTCGTTCTACCGAAGACGCTTGTTGCATCTGATCACTTGTGGCCGCGTGCCATACAGAACAAAAAGCCGTTTGCGATCACTTTCTACTACAGCTGCAGCGACTGAGCAAGCCCGATATGACTATGGTGGGGAAGGTATCTCACCCAACCAGACGACATCACAATAACTTATCTATCCAAATCCATCACTGCACCTCTGTATTTTAGGCTATCCACTGAAAGTGTGCACACATTTTTGTACCTACCATTTCCAAGACATCCCCCTCCTTCATGTTCTGTGTATTTGTGGTTGTGTCTTGCTCTATCTTTTCGCTCCTGTACATATGCTCGATTGATGAAAATGCCGATTTTTAATAAGTATACTTGTCTAACAGTTGACTATTGAATCGTGCTGAAATTTTATTCACACAAACATTTGGAGCGTTGTGGACATGGCATTTGATCAATATCGCAAAAACATAAGTGGTCTACTGAATTGGTGAAAAGAGTAAGCACAAGATAACAATATACTGCTTCTGATCGATTTTCTGCACTTCAAATGTGTTTTAATTATCCGAAACCTGCAGTTTAATTATTCTTTTAAATGTTAATGGAAAATGGAAGGAGATTTTTACATTAATTTTTCATAGCTGCATGAATAGATCCAAACTTGACAAAATTGCTCCAGAGATCCACATTATTTGCTGGACTGTTCTGTTTCTTTGCCTCAGATATTGGTGGTGGAAACAAAGTCATCTGTTTGACTTCAATTTACACAATATTCCTCGCAATGTGCTGTGTAAGTTACACATTTATTGAGTGCCGTTGAGGATGATTCTTGCATTTTGTACAAGCTAGCACTTTCCAAGGCACAGCGCGTCCGAACATTCGCGTTGATGCTCTCTTTAGACTAAACACGATGTAATTCACCACATGGTAGAGAGAAATTCTTCATTACTCCCATGCAACCCAGAGCGTGTAATCTGAAAAATATAGAGTGGCATTCCAGAGGCTAATGCCACGTTTTCCGAAAAACCGATACTATATTGTTTTATATTTGATACTATGACGTTCTGATCGATAGTCACAGTTCCCGGTTTGTCCTGAATTAAGCGGTAATAAGTACAATTTGTTAGCATCCGTCCTAAAATATCAAAATCTTTGTGAAACTGGCGTTTCCTAAAACCAAAATGTCTGAAAGGTGACGGAACATTGACTGGTAGGCGTCCAGCACTTCAATGCGTTCATAAAGAGTTCAAGTAGATGTTTCAGTTGAGTGCGAGACTTTGGAAAAACCGCTGTGTGCGCACTTATGCTGAATTTAACAAACCTGAGAGAAGGTAAACAGTGACCGTCAGGGTAGTAGAATGTAAAACGTATCATTCACTCATTTACACTGTTCGTCTTTTTCATTTTTGTCTACTTTTATTGAATACACAATGGTACAATGATTATGAAAGGGGAAATTGTCAATCAAATAACTGCCATATGAAAGGGATGGTTCAAAGACGTTCTCACTGTCAAAACTATGTGCCCCAGCGAGCCCGATTAGGTATCGTAACGGGCTTCAACCTTCCCGAGGGCAAGGGTGAGCTTCTACTTGTGGCCGGCACATCGGGTTACAACCCTGATCCCGGAGCCAAGTATATCAATATTCTTCAGTCAAAGAGTCAGTAGGACGGACAACGCTGATCGTTGCGGAGCTCACATCCGAGTTCGCAAAAGTACTAGTAAAATGATTCCAGATACGTATGTACTTACGATGAATTCGTTGATGAAAATCTACCAATTTTGATGCCACCTTCGATAAGATAGCTATTTCTAAACCAGCATGTATATCGCCTTCTGCATCGCAGAAAACCGAACATTCCTATGCCATGTGGTACACTGTAGCGATGCCCGAGAACAGGGTTAATAGTGGCAGGTGCACATGAAGTCACATCAACAGCTGTTCGAACGGTTGTCTATAAATAGGTTTGAAATTAATTTATTAAACCTGCATCTACGATAAGGTGGGTATGCGATAGCATTTTAGCTCCCTAACATTGAAAGCGATATCGTCAGTCTGCCGGGCTTTCCTGAGGACAATGATAGACAAAGTCTTAGGAAAAGTAAATTCTCTAGGAAAATTATTAAGATGTTCAATACAATTCGTCAGTGATCCTGAATTCAGTGAGCAAATAATGTGTGCAAAGACTGATTGAGTTTGATGTTTAGTTTGCACGAGTTTGTCTGTAAGTTTGTGACAGCGTTGTTTTTGGATTGAACGTTTGAGAACACCAAAGGTTCTGCGTAGTCACTTTAAATTGATGTAACTGTTCAACATTCCAACATGCACCTGGAACAGTCAATTAACACCAACCGTACATCCTGGATGACTGATCGAGTGAAGTGTAACTAGTTCAGCATAATGAAGGAATACGTATTAGTTTATGAACTTGAAGGTTGAAGACTTGCACACTCAGTAAATAATGAAATAAGTTCACTCCGGAAAATATATCTAAGTTTCAATTTGATTAAAATACTAAATAAATCCATTCATTAAAATAATCCCATTGATACCCAAACTATTCTGGATCCTATCAGGATTATCGTTTGAGTGAATCGTAACTGGGGTTACCAAGACAGCGTCATTGATGAAAAGGTTCTAAGAAATGATTGTAACAAACATCCTACACACGCTAAATTCATTTTATTTCAAATCGCCCGTGGCCCCCTGCGTGTACCCACAAACGTTTTTCTACGCTGTGACTTCGGTCAGTCTAGAATAGTCTCAAGCGACCTAGAACAAGCAATGACCAATTTAAACAATGTCTAAACTCATTCAGAACACGTTTTTGAAGCATCGTTGTGAGGTGACAACATGATTATTATCTCTGGAACCATTGAATGTGGGAATTAGCAATAAATATCGCATTTTTGCGATAAAACCAAACATATCAACTTCACGAATATAAGAAATTTGAATTTCCGGAAAACAAAGATGTTTCCATTAAAATTTAAGCTGTAGTAAAACTTAATACTAGAAATCATGGAATACCGCGCAGTACGTTTGCAAACTAGTGCTCCAATTCATTTGTTATTCAGCGGCATAAGAACATATTACCACGCCAATCGAGCACATGATAGAAGGTTGGTATACGAAGGGAGATTCTAACAATGCCTAACTTATTTTGGAGCAGCTGGATTAGGCAGCATCTATTCCAAACCACCAAAGGTGCTCGTTTACTTCAACACGCAGAGGCCATATGTAACATAACTATAACGAATGAGAAACTCATGACAGTTAATCTTATGTAAGGATGGTAACCTAGTTAATGAATGGTATTTCCACAATTGCCTAAAAATAAGTTATCATCGATAAGAGTACAGAATCACTTTGGTTATCTACACTTACTTCTTCATTCTGATTTCTTTTACACCATCTTACCCGTTTCATTCTACCTGAAAACTCTGTTTCATTAGGCATTTTACGCTTATATATATTTGCATATTTTCTCTATCCCATTCTTTGGATTTCACCATTTGGTATCAACTCGCAGAACACAATACTGCGCTCAAATCAATTCCCCCAGCGATATGGTATGACTGATGAACCTTTTGTCTTCTAGAAATCCCACGAAAGAAAATGTTTTCGTTATTTTAACAATTTTATTTACTGTGAGTTGCGTAGATTTGGTGTGAAATGACGGAGGAAACATTTCAACAGCAAGCAGCATTTCTCAGCCGTCATTCGCCGCAAAAACACTGTCCACCCAACGGTGAAACTAGATGATTTACAGCTAAAAAGTTAAGGGAGAAATAAAAAATCCACTGGGATTATACCCTACAAAACAGCGATGCGCTGCAACTTCATAACAGATCAATCCAAAGACAATCCTCAAGCGTAAGTTATGACTTTGATTACAAGGTATAAAACTAGTACTCTTTTGTGGGTTGTTGATTTTATCGACCTAGTAAAAGTGCTACAGCTTCGATGAAGCGATAGAAATATTGGTCAGAGATACATGAAGGATAAACGTTTTTTGGACGACATTTGCGGGTAAAGGTGCTATCTAGCATAGAAATTAAACGGTTTTCCTGATTTTCTGCTACTGCATGAAGTCAAGTTTTATTTTGGCGTTCATAAAGAATCAATCGCCTACACCCGCTGCTTTTTTTGTCAAATAACAGTCGTTTGTGTAAATAAAATCATGCCTATTTTCATTCGTAGTGAAAACATGTTGGTCCTCACGCGAGAATGAGGGCATGATGCCTGACGAGTTACCTTTACATGCACTCCGTATAATACTAACGTGTTTCCATCACCAACCCGTATCGTTGTTCATTCTGAAAACGGTTAATTTTATTGATCTGTGAAATGTGAGTGCATAAAAAACACACTGTGACATGCAGCCACGTAATGGGTCTAAATGGCTGCGCGCGAGACATATCTTTGTCTTAACATGGAAGGCTTCAGTGCTATTTAGCATTACAAACCAAACCGGAACTGGAGCTACTCAAAGGGGTGTAATGGCAACGGAAACTTATCTCACAGGATTAAATGGAATACTCCTGTGTATAGATCAGCACGTAATTCTTTATTTCTCAAGCGCAGCAGCTACTAAGATTGATGCAAACAACTAAATATGACCTCGCCTAGAGAAGAGCTGTTATTCCATAAACGACAGTTTCCTTTATGCGACAGTCATTAATTTGATGATTCCAGCTCTGTCCAAAACACAAAATATTGATTCTGCTTTTAACTATAGGAAAATCATAATTCTACTGATAAAAAGTAAGCTTGGGTTTTACATGATTCAGTTGTTCTTTGAAAAAGATTAAAATTCGAAGGCATTTTTCGAACGTGGTCTAAAGGTTTCCTCTCAAAACAGGAGGCTACACCTAATGTATGATTGCAACATTTAGGAGTAGTGCACAGTTTGACCTTGTTAAAAGCGGAAAGCTGAGAGGGGGTGTGACTCGTTTCATGGGGAATATATAGGTCATCTTTCTGAGCCCAGGCAATGAAAGTGCAACGATGCGTGAAGATGAAGATGTAAAAGAAACAAATATGAGGTAGAGTAGAACCGATAATGACGAAGGCGAGTTACAAGGAGTCCAAAAGGGGATTGCGAGTATGGATAGTACTCCTGAGTGGTATAGATTCACAAGCGGTTTCGAGTGAGCAAAAATATTGGATTTTAGTGCTCCAAACAATAGTAGCACTCAATTCCGTATGAGGTCAATCGCGAACAAGCAATCGATTATTAGCCCTGCTGATTAAGACAGCACGGGAAGCATTGCAGTGCAGAGAACAATGTGTGATTGCATCATCAAAAAATGCATGAATAGGAGTTCGGGTACAAAGTCATGGATGAGCAGAAGGAAGAGTTTGAGTAATAATGCAAAATACTACTTGATACTAGGTTATAAATTAGTCTTACAATGACTCCATTAACACAGATTGAGACAAGATGGTGAGAAGAAACATTCGAAACTCTATGAATGAAATATGGGGGAGTATCCACTAGGAGCCCATCATACCAGCCTCAGTCGAAACCTATTGCGATATTTGGAAAACCATATAAGGCTCAAAATGTTAGTTTTTGGTGGGAGATGAAATAAATGACTTGTATGGCAATCGACAAGAAGTGGACTTGTGGTAGCAGAAGCCATTATGGCGATCGTTAGGAAGTTTGATACGTATAGGATGACAGCAAGATTATTGTCAGTTTCAGCTGGAAGCGGAAAACAAGGGAAATACATCAGGCTTTCAGGAAGGATGACTGAAGAAAACACCAAAGCATTGTCGAGTGGAAGAAAGGACAAGTGGCAATAAATAAGGTAACCTGTTTCGGTAGGAGGCCATAAAATGACTCTACCCGAAAGACATAAGGGGAGCTTGTTAGCCTTGAAATGAACAAAATTTCCTTGGTTTTCTGGAGATTTGTTGAATACTTGACTTCAGCGTTGACAAACCAGCGGTAATAACAGGTGCTTGGCGACATACGCCAGTGTTTGGAACCATTTTCTCTCTCATCGACTGTTTGGAAATAAGATTTATGTGGAGGGCTGCTTTATGGACTGCCAAAATTGCTGAATAAACACGTGGGTACCTTGAAGAAGAGGGTTTTACAACATTTCCGGTTAAAGTAGACGAGTCGGAAGAAAAAGCACAGTCGCACCGTAAATAGGATATCGGGAACTCGATAGCGCCATTCCAGACGGGAAAGAAGGAATAACTGGTTGTAACGAGTCACTGTTATGGGCGAGTTCCTGCCTAGGATCGGATACACGGACCGCATACCTGATTGATTGTGACAAACTGTACACCACGGCAAACGCTTCCACCTCGTATTCAGTGGTTTTGGACGTCGGGGCGTACGCTTATCAGTCGACTTTAGGAATTTGGAACCACCTGAGTTCGTGAACTGTGTGTTGGAAACTGATAGCACTACACCCATCGACATTTCCTCACCCCCTAGTGTTTCGGGTTATTGTCACTCTAGCATTCGTGATCATCACCGCTTTTCAGAATCTTGACGGAAACCAAATGCAAGGTCCAAATACGATACTTTATCTTATATTTTATTAAAAATATACCTACAAAACCGAGTTTTCACGTGGACACAAGCATTTTACCCCTATCTCCCACTCCCAAACCAGGGAATTCGCACTCACTACTCGACTTTGAA